TGGAATGTTATCCAATTTCAAGAGAAATTCATCAACTGTTTTTTGATCCTTGACATCCAAATCGGCCTTTATAAGTTTAGAAGCAATACAATCATTTACCTTGGAACAGCTCGCAATAAACCTAAAAAATGCGCATACATTAAAATTATACAAAATGGATGAACAGAAAATATTGCAAATTATCTTTTTTTTTCACCTTTACCAATATAGTCTTGTTCTATTCTGTCACATAATTCCAAAACCTCATGAATTCTAGTAGAAGCACCAGATAGTGCAGCAGCTCTAAAAACGCCTGAATTTTTAAAATTTTAAAATAAAGTTATTAAATAAAATAACACGAGATAAGAAAATAAATAGTTAATAGTTTAATTAATTAATACTTTATCTGTTACAACATCAACTTCGACAGTAGGGTTACCGCGAGAATTAAAAATTTGACGAGCGTGAACTTTAACGATAATCATTTTTATTTTTATGTATTTTATGTATTTATGTACTTATGCATTAGATATCAATATATATATTATTGAGTCATTGAGTAGTGTGTTACGAATAATTGACTGGTTTTTTAAGATTAACGTGATCAACAAATTAGAAAGATATACAGTAATTCTTAATATCAGAAGCACCTATAGGTTACTGTTCATCCTTTTGTTCTATGTTGAATGACCGTCTATTCAATACCTTTAAGGATAAGAGATCAGAACTTTAATAGCAACTATTGTTGCTTTCTTGACGATTTTATAAGTTTTACTCGCAGCTATTTCAGCAACGAGTTCCTAAAAAAAATCATATAATCAATAAATATTATAATTTATGATAAAAGTTTTAATTGTATGCTAATAAACATACATTTTCATTACCAACATTATCATATTTATTATTAAAATAATAAACACCCAAAATAGCTCTTTCATTATCGTGAAGAAGTTATTATTGTGAAAGTTAGCGTGAATATATCTTACATTATATGTAAATTCGAATTGGATTAATTAATATATTTTTAAATTATTTAATTTGAATTTTATGAATATTTTCACTATTAACATATAAGCATATATTCTTTATAATATTTTATACATCAATATTCTCACAATTTAAACAACATTGAAAATACGAAGAAGTATGCCTTATCTACCCTTTACAATCCTCTTCTGTAACTATATTGAATGCATCATTAATCCTACCTAAAATGGTTTCTCTATTTCTTAAATGAATTCTTGTAACAGAATTTTTAACTTTTGAAAAACAATTTTCAATCAGGTTCAAAAAAGGAGAATAAGGAGGGAGGTAGAAAATTTCATGTGTAGTATTTTTAACGGCTTCTTTAACTACATCAGTTCTGTGAAAATGAACGTTGTCCATTACTAAAAACTTATCACTTGGAATAATATCATTAAGTTCATTAATAAAAGTAGTCAAAATTTCTCCGTTTACTGAACCTAAAATAGACTTATAGTGCAAGACTCCATCTTCATTAATTGCAGCAATAATGGATATATTTTTTCCCCTATTATTTACAACCTTATGGATTGCTGGTTGCCCATGGCATGCACGACCTCTCGATGTTGAAAGATGAAGATTAAAATCAGTTTCATCAATATAAACCATGTCACTATAAATATTAATATTTTCATTATAAATTCTTTCTACATATTGTTTTCTTTTTTGAATTGTGTCATCAGAATTTCGACCTTCTGGTACTACTGTCAGTCTTTTTAAGGTAAAACCCATATTTCTTATATACCGTGCAACAGTCCGATCACTTAACTATACGTATTAATATAATATATTGATATATGACGCCAACTAACTTTAATACTGTAATAGAATTATACATATGCATGCTTATATTTTACCTGTAGATTTGGAAACTGATCCACTAATTCTTGGATTAGATCTGCAATAGTAATCCAAGGCTCCTGCTCAATAGCTTCCTCTAAAAAATTTTTGTGTTGCTCATTTAATATTGATTTTTTATCACCACCTCGTGGTTTAGAAGTAATTCGGCCTTCTCTATCAAAACGATCTACAATACTCTGAATGGTTGATGCAGCTAATTGAAAATTAGCTGCAACATCCCAAATCGGTACACATTTATTGTTAACTTTATTGATAATTTTTTTTTTCGTTTCTAAAGGAATCTTTTGATATTTAGATGCTCTTTTCTTTTTTTCTTGAGCCATTACTAAAACAAACATATAAAAATTTTTTTTTGCTATATTTATATAAAATATTTATATTAATATATTTATTGTTTCATATATTAAACTACAGTACGTATACTATGAATTACAGATGTTAAAATACGTATTGTAGTGAATTGACTCGACTATGTACTAGCGGGCGGAATGATCTAGTATTGTAAAATTTGTTGCACACCAGGTGAAGGATCAGTCGTGTAACCTCGATGTTCTCTCCTATTTGATTATACTGAGTTATGATTTTTAGACTCTATCAAAAGTAGGACAATTAATTATTTTATTTCAGATTTTTTTCTTTTAATTTTTTTGATTAATCATCAAGCAACAATGTTTTTATCAAGTCAATTCACCAACGTATTGTTTAATTATTAAAGTTTTTTTTTATTTTGTTATATTAAATATTATAATCAAATAGCAGATATGTATAGGCATTATCTAGCATAGTGAAATTTCATTGTCTGATTTTTTACAGGGGGGGGGATTACCAAATTTCCGGGTTGGATCCATCAAATTTAGGCTGGTATTTAGCAATACAAGTCAACCATTTCTGGGCCAAAATTATCAGCTGGGCAGCTTTACCTAATGAGTGGGTCATAACTTCATTAGTAAAACTTTCAGTAATCTTGGAAATATTAGTTAATTTTGGCCCCGCCGATCATGATTCCGAGGTATTCTAACGCGGAATTTTGGTGACCTCCCTGTGAGTTTTGTGTTTGAAATCTGTAACAGGTTATGTAAATAACTCAAGATTTTACTAGTTTGACTTCTAATAAAAAGTTTTAGCTCGAAATTTTAGATATAGTACATTTAAATATCAAATATTAAGTAAATTAAAGCCTGCACTTAATTCTGATCTTATGCTCTTTCGATTTGATCATAATCTGTCACAGGTTTCAGATGTGCAATAATATTTTCATATTACAATCAATCTCTTTATACTACGTTTTGATTGATGATGCAGTCTGGCATTCGTTCAGTTGACTGATATAAATCAATTATTCGGGTAACTATTTATATATATGTAATATTTATGGTGCTTTGCAAAAATATGTGACCCTCTTGATTACTATTAGTTATAAATGATTGTAATTGCGATTGCTAAGGCTGGTCAATTTATTATAAATCTTAGATTTATAATAAATTAACCAACTGTAGTAATCGCAATCGCAATCGCAATTATGATCATTTTATAAATTTTAGTAACAGAAATTTTCAAAGTGCAATAAGAGAACTTTTGTAAATATAATGTATTACTAATAAAAGTTTTTTACAGGGCAATTCCATGTAGAACAACTTATTTTAAGATGAATAGATTTGAAAAATCACTTGAGGATTCAACGAAAGCATCAAAAGTTGAAGATATCGTAGAAGATCCTATTTTTGAATAAACAAAAATAGCGGATCACTTGCAGATTTAAACAAATTTGTGGAAATTACATTATGAAGACACTTACCATGTGATGAACAAATCTTATGAATCACTTACAGATCTAAACACCCAAAATTCCAGATCCTAATGCAGTGGGCCCGGGTGAGCATAAGCAATACTAGACAATAGCAACGTTATTAGCTGATATTTTTACTAGACTATAACTTCATTAGTGAAATTTTTAGTGATCTTGAACAGAACTGATCAATTCTAGCCAAGTTAACTGGTAATCGAATTAAT